TACCAACCAACCTTACTTCCAGTAACTTTTGCTATTGTGAGGAATGGTTAAATAATAATTCTCCCTTAATTTAAGACCAAGAAATGTATTGAATTAGGCTTTTTGTGGGGAATAGAAATAAGATTGGGAATGACAGAGAGATGTAAATACATGATTAGAGAATATTCTACTGCTTTTAAAAAACTATTTAATTTTGCTCCTCTAAATTATTTGTTATAAAAAGCTTCAGGCTAGGATGAGGGATAATTGAAAACTTGGAAAGGAAATAAAGCCACTTAAATGTATTTCCCAAATTCAATATCCTTATATTAAGCAACCATATACAGGTTTTCAAAAGTTGCCCAAGGAGCAAATAATAATATTGGATGCCACTTTATTAAGTAAAATTGGGTGCACAGACTATAATCAAAATCAACTGTTTAATATTAAATAGAGGAGTTGTTACACAGACTTCTAATTAACCCCCCATATTCATGTTCCCCTTCTTGCCTGGATGTGGACATTCAGCTGGGCCCTTGCTTACCCACTCTCCCTTGGGACCCTGTGAGTTGGATCCAATGTGTTTCCTGTACAATATGAGTCTCAGTTGAGTGGCCTTAAAAGAAGCAGAGCACCACCCACCACTCTTTCCTCCCTGCTTCCGCCTGGCATTTAGGTATAATACCCGGAGCTTAGGCTGCCACTTGGAATCAAAAGACGAATGAAGACTCACTGCTGAGGATGGTCACGCCAGATGACAGAAGAAGCCTGACTTCCCACGGAGCCCCTGGACACTTTCAGAGCCTGACTTCCACCTTTTCCGTCACGGTCTGTGTCACTCGGAGCTGAACCTAATTCAAACTAACACCATTTTTGGTACTGTATTTAAAAATAGGATGCTATGAATGACAGAGCCTACAAAGTTTCTGGAATTGTCTGTGCTAGGTGCCAAGCCGTGAAGCTGGGGATATTACAGCCTCGGAAAGCTGGGGCCTTTGTTATTTGTAGTAAAAATAGGTGGCCATCCTGTTGCCTGCCGTTCCTTGGAAGGCAAACCAGGTGCCAACGGAGACTTTTGATATTAGGAAATGCTCAAATGCTGATGTACGTTGGCTCCTTCTTGCTGTGTTCATCAAAGTATTCAAGAGAGTAATGAACTTAGTCTAGAACTAGCCAGCTGCAGGCTGAGATAAAAGTAAAACCAGTTTGAAGGAAGGTGTTCTCTGATTATGTTGGCAATCTGAATTGATGGACAAGCCCCAATTTATGAGCTTTAAAAGGTGTAAAAGAAAAAGTATCCTAAATTAAAGTACAGTAATTATAAGCCACAGCTTCCAAGAGATAGCCTGAGAAGGAAGAAAAGCTGTGGTCCAAGATGTCTTTTCTTACCTTCTTCTAAGAGTGAAACAGAAAAAAATGTGGGAGGGAAGAGAGTTGCAAGGAACAGCCTTCTCATTTATTAGGTGCAAGAGCTTGTTCGACATCAGATATTATCTTAGCAAACACACACACCTCTACCCATCAGTCTTTGAATCAATGGTTAACTTTTGCACTAGCCTGGCAAGAGGCAGAGGTACTTCTAAGTTTTATCGCCTCCCTGCTTCATGCAGCCTGATCCCTTGGGATTCCACCCTGAAGCCCACCTGAAATTCCCTCTTGGTCTTTCTCAAACACAATTTCCACATACAGCACTAACTATATACGAGGTCTGTCTGGAAAAAGTCCAACCATCGTTAATAGAATGAGTGGTTTGAACAACACCTGTGTAACTGGGCAGCCAAGCTGAGTGGACTGGAATGTGCATGCGTGAACAATGACTTCACTACTAGTCAGTGGGGGCAGTACATGTGCTGAGTCAACATGTGAACGGTGTGGCCATCACATTCAAAATGAATGCGTGAGCAGAGCAATGAATCTCCATCAAATTTTGTGTGAAGCTTGAACATCCCTCTGTGGAAACTATTCTGATGACTCAAAAGGCCACAGTTATGGGCAACTGGGTGATTGGCAGCTTCATCACTACAATGTGCCCGCTCATGCATCACATCTTGTGCACAATTTTTTTGGGAAATGTCAAATCACCTACGTAACTCAGTCCCCTAGAGCCCAGATTTCGCGCCCTGTGACTCCTGGCTTTTCCCAAAACTAAAATCTCCTTTGAAAGGGAAAAGAGTTCAGACTGTCAATTAGATTCAGAAAAATATGATGGGGCAGCTGACAGTAATTGGGAGAACCGTGTGAGGTCCCAAGGTATCTACTTTGAAGGGGACTGAGGTGTCATTGTCCTCTGTACAACATTTCTTGTGTCTTCTGCAATAAATGTCTCTAGTTTCGTAGTACATGGCTGGATACTTTCTGGACATGCCTCATGTAACCAAGGAAACATGCAGATCATTTGCTGACAGCTTTTCTCAATGGCAGACCAGCCACCCAAGAGGGAGGAAATGTGCTCTTGACTGCTGGGTTTGAAAACTGAAATCTGTAAAGCAAACAGCAATCTATAAAGCACTCATCTCCTATAAACTCTATGTCATAAATTTGTGGTTATAGCTGTTTGCTTACCCATCCAGCTGGAAATAGATCAAAAGAGACCTTAGACGTTCAGCAAGCTCATCTGTGGCCAAAGACATTCCACAGTCATGTGGATGGGTAGGAATTATCAAAAGCTTTGTAACTGACCATTGTGATCCATTGCCTGGGATAACAATAAAAATGGTCGGCCGAAAGCCCCATCATATTAAATATATCTTTGAGGGAAAACCTGTTGGCTAGTGGGCTGTGCTTTCTCTCACACCAGTAAGAAATCTTGTCTGATTTCCATCCACTCATCACATATTTAAGAGCCTTTGTAAACTTAGGTACAATTAACTTCCAAAGATTACCATGGGCGATTACAGAAGCAGAGGTCTAGGTCAGGGCTTTGGTCTCCGAGCTGTCAGTCAACACCACGTCCTGATGCAGAGGGCGAGACGCCCTGGAGCAGGGGTCATAGGGCTTGAGGGCAGGTACTGGCTACAAACTCGGTGGCAAGTCAGGAAAGCTCCTAGGGCTTCCATGTCTTCTTTTAGAGAACTGGGAATAAAATGCTTATCGTGTCTATTTTTCAGAATTTATTAATTCATTCATAAATATTTATTCATCATCTACTAAATTCCGGGATTTTTTCTAGGACCTTGGGGGATGCGGTAGGAAATAAGACACACATACAAGATGAATGCTCTCAAGCAGGCTTATTCTAATAATTAGAAAAAAGTGTATAAATATGCTGATACAAACATTTTAACATAAGCAGATATATATGCATATATTAATAGCTATATTTCCAGAGGCAAACATACGTGTACGTATATTTTTAAAGTTTACACCAAAAGGCCTTTCTAATACAGTGTATTTATTTAGATTTCACACTGCATAGTTTAAAATGAGACAGGCAATAACCTAATGAAAGATACATTGATCTAAACAACAAAGCTAGCACTTTAAAGATGTCTCCATATTTCATTGATAAAAAAAAAAAATCATTTTCTGCCAGGCTGCATTCCTTAACACAGAAAATATGCTAGGTTTACACTATAATACTCCTTTACATTCAGTAAAACTTATCATTAGGAGAATCTTCCTTTTTATTTCTTTTTTCACTATTTAAGAACCAAGACGTGTGTGGGCAGTCTCTAAGGTGGTTCCAACTTGTGCTACCCCCTCCTGTGAGTGCGGGCTGGACTTAGTGACTCACTTCCAACAACCTCTATATAAGCACACTGGTGGAGAGCACTTACAAGACTGAATTATAAGAAAACTTAGGTTTACATCTTGGAAACTCTCTCTTACTTATGGTTTTCCTGTCCCCTCCCCTTCCCTTCTCTCTCTTTTTCCTCCCTCCTCAGCCCACCCCGTTCAGTCCAATCACCTGTAGGGGAGGCCACATGACAAAGAGAGTTCCTGAAGGTTCAAAGCCACAGGAAGGAGAAGGAAGACTCCCCAGCCAACCGCCAGCTGCCACTGTCAACCAAGGGAGTGTGCCTTCTTGGAAGCAGCTCCCCAGCCCATCAAGGCCTCACACGCTGCAGCCACACAGCGGTGTGGGGATGACGTCCAGCGAAGACCTTTCTGAGTTCCTCATCTCTGGTAACTGGGAGATAACGCTTGCTGGTAGAAGCCACTACATTATGGGGTAATTACTTACACAGCAATAGATGATAAATATATTGTGTTGGCCAAAAAGTTCATTTTGTTTTTTCTGTACGATGGCTCTAGTAGTGCTTAGTTGTCTTTAATTTCAACCAAAACAATTCTGTTAGATTGTACTGTGGCAGCTGTCATAACAGCATGCGTTTAAAAAAATTATCAAGATTGGTGAATTTTTGTGCAGCTGTTTCAATATAAAAGATGGAAGAAAATATGCAACATTTTTGGCATATTATGCTCTAATATATCAGGAAAGGTAAAAATGCAAAAAAAGATTTGTGCCATGTATGGAGAAGGCGCTGTGGCTGATCAAACACATCAAAAGTGGTTTACAAAGTTTCTTGGCACTATTGACACTCTGGCCAAACAACTGTTTGCTGTGGGGCTGTCTTAGGCATTGGAAGATGTTTAGCAGCACCCCTGGCCTCTACTCATTAGAAGCCAATAGCAGGAGACAGCCGGCATCCTCAAAACATCCAAATCAATAAAGTTATTGGTGAAAATGAAAGACGTGTCTTATTTTATGTAAAAAACTAAATGGATTTTTGGTCAACCCAATATATTCCAAGGACTCTTATGAGAATGAGTAGATTCAGAACCTCATGCATTTCACCTCAAATGTCTGAACTGGACTAGAAGAACATAGTGATATCACTTGACACCTTTGTCATGAAGAAACAAATACGCTGCTGTTTTTGAATCAACGGATTATGACTGTTTTATTCCTGAGCTCCACTGGTTCCACTGAATCAAACATAAATACTTCATAATCAAACTTGGTTGAAACTCTGTGTTTAGCAATGTATTAGTTCACTGATAAAAACTGGTAGTCTTACCTCCAAAGAAGTACTTCTCGCCAGTTTTAACTTGAAGAGGACTATTGGTTCGAACTGCCGATGCTTCATCTCCATCGATGGTGAGAATAGCAAAATTTTCCTTGGCCAGGAAGCGAACCTCGTGCCACTGTCCGTCATTCAGCCCGGAACCTGTTAAGTACAAAATAAAAGTAAATTTACTGCCTTAGGATGGTTCCGTTTAAAACGATGTTTAATATCGACCAAGTCAGAACTTTAAAAAAAGAAAAATTAATATATTTTCCTCTAGGAAAATTCGGTGCTACTGACTGTTGATATCTCCTGTTTCTTTAACATCGTAAGTGGTTTCAGTCTCCACTGAATCAAATAAGAAATAACTATAACCCAATCTAAGGAGACAGTATTAATGTACCATTGGGGCTCTTGGGAAAATGAAGTAAATAAAGTTGCTTGGAAGATAATGATGAACTATTTTAATTTAATGACATTTTTCGGTTAGCTTTACTATAAGAAAATGGATTTACGACTTTTGTCTAATGTCTCTCTCTTTTCTATAACTTTTTTGTATTAGATTTTTTTCAATAAATACATCTGGAAAGTATAGCTTATAGAATCATGTACTAAAAAATGAATGTGTCAGTATGTATAGTTATTTGTGCTAACTGCCCACTATTAAGAAGCATGGGAAACAATACCAGAATTATATGATCATTTACCAGTAAGGTATCTTTAAAATGAAGTCAATTATATCTTTTAAAAAATAAACAAACAAAAATATAAATCAACGACTCCCACCCCTAACCATCACATTTCATTCACTGTTGCCTCGTACAAAGATCTTGGGAAACAAAAATTCTACAAAGCTCTCCGTTACACAGACAGTAAAGTTTCTGTTTAATATTTATTAATTTTATGAAGAATAATTAGAAAATTAAGGCACAGACAGAGAATAACCACTGAACATAAATATCCAGGAAGAGTTTTAAAAACACTGAGAGAGAAGTCTATGAGCATTCGAGTGGCTTTCTCTGACCGTCCAAAGTTCTATGCTATGTCAAGGGAAGAGATTTTGTTCTAGTTGGCTCCAGATAGAATGATCTACAATCCACCAGTAGAAGTTACTGGAAGATACACTTCAGCTTCACAAAAGAAAGAAGCCTAGCAAGTAAAGGGATCGAAAACGGAAGGAGGGTGCATCAGTGCGGAGCTGGGGAGGGCCCCTAGCCTCTGATGGGGGGGGGGCGGCAGCAAAGAGAAGCTTCGAGGCCGAACACCACTGGGGGGCTGCCTGCTTTTGTACTGCCTGGGGACTAAAAATAGTTCTCACGGTTTTAAATAATTAAAAATAAAAAGAATAATACTAAGTTACATGCAAAAAGCATGTAAAATTCGGATTTTAGTGTCCATGTAATGTTTTATTGGAATACAGGCCAGCTCCTTGGTTTACGCACTGTCAGAGTCGGAGCAGGGAGTGGCTTCAGAGGCTGCGTCCCCAGCGACCCCTGCTAATATTCCCTGCGTGGCCCTTTACAGAGAGAGCAGAAGCTAGTGGTTGTTTCAGACCATTAAACAGAAATACTACTTTTAAAAAAAGTGAAGTCCTGTTGGAGCTTAGAAGAAAGTCACATACAGGTTGCATTTATTGGTATTACCCTGGTAAATGCCATTACAAATCCTCATCTCTCGGATATTCACTTTTGGATTTTCAAATTTTGATTTGGTGTTATATATGTGAGCATATTTTATTTCAATGGAGGGAAACAGAAAATCCTTGCCCTAAAGTAATTAATAGTAAACGATTTCCAAACTACGAAATATATAATACATATAAGCACATAGAAAAATATAAATTTTTGTACTGAAATTACTATGCAAATGCACACCTTATTCTGAAATTAAAATCAGTTAGCTGTCTGACAAGAAGTTGTGCTTACAGAAATACTTCCCTCTCAGGTAGGTTTGTTTCGGGTTCTCCTATGGAATTGATGCACAGAAGACTGCATCTTTACCAAAACATTTTTCTTTAAAGGACAAAACTGATTAGTGTTGATTAACCATGAAAGTACATGGTTTTGATTTTTGGTTTTTTGTTTTTGCCTTCACAATGTGAAGAACTCTGCTTTGAAATTCATTCTGGGGCACAGATCCCAAGGACGTTAATGTTACAAATGTTCATTCCCAAAATTTAATCTTAATAATCACGTATCCAGAGCAAGTCACTGGTAAGACATCTTTAGCTGACAGTGTCTTGCTCTAAATGGTAGACCAGAAAGGCTTTCTAAAAATCCCTGTGAAAATCTTTTCTTCACAAAATTAATTTATGAAGAAAGGTCATCAGCTTAATTGTTCATGGAAAAATGTCTATTCTTCCAATCAGATTAAAATAAAAAGGTTACTTTATTTTTTCAAGAAATTTAATCATTAGAGGCACTGGACCTCAGATATGCAGCCTTGTTGATAGGAGCCACTGCTACATCTGAGCTTAAACTGTGATTTTTATTCATTTTAGTTCCAATTATTATTTTGAACTTTTATTATTAGTCATCAAGAGGCAAGCCTTTGCAGTCCATGATAGGAATGAATCCCCAAATATATATAATGAAGTTCATTCTTCAGTGGGGCAAGAATGATCTTGTTGCTCAGAAGAAAATATGCTGCTTCTTTGAATTTTACTTCATCTGTATGGTATAAAAAAACAATACCCTGAAGGCAGGGAGAAGAATCTAATTTCATGATCTCTGTATATGTATTTACAGTTATACTAGTCTAAGCTTTATATGCTGGTCACTCTGCTGAGTACTTTACTTGCATTTGACTCACTTATAATACACAGAAAGTAAATAAATAAATATATTTCCCCCCCCAAGAAGTAGGTGAGAAAACTGAATCTGATAAAAGGTAAGATCCATGGCTAATAAACAGCAGAACTCAGAATTGGAATTCAGATATACCTGGGTCGAGAGGCTGAATTCATACAAAAAACAAACATAAACGAAACAAACAGGAACAAAATATGTCAGATAACCTCGGCGCTTCCACGATCGGAGTTCTCTCGTACTACGCACACGTGCACAGACACGCACGTCCATCTGCCACCACTTCTGGGCAGACGCTCAATTTCTGGGGGCATCCTTGACTCGTGTAGCACAGGGTTGTAAATATACAGACGTCGTTAAGTTTTGGCATTCGCGCTGTTGTCCTGGGACATCCCACATGCTGTGTGTCTTTCGTTATTTTCTCACATTGATTTTCTTTTTCCTTCAAATTGTAATGTGAATGGAAATTTTACACTATGGGTTTGAGAAGCAAATTCTAGCACTTTTCCGAAGGCACCCGAGCATCAGCTCGGGAGTATTTATTAAAGTCATCTCTCTGTATTGTGCGACGCTGAGCAAAGGGAACCCTGTTCACCGTGTTCTCTTTACAATGAGTGGATTGGTGCTCTTGAGCAGCTGCCTTGTTGTTCGTTTGCAGAGCTACAACCCTAATTTAGACATTTTGACACTCAGGCAGCAGTTTTTCCCACTAGTCAGAATTCAGCTGTCAAAATGTATAGCGAGAAAGAGGAGGGGGCCAAAGTTCCACCATACTTCACCCCTGCGTCCATTCTCCCCAACGCAAGGGAGACCAGAACAACGTTGTAGGAAGCATGGACTATGATAAAAATATACGGACTCTCCTGCAGACTGGCTCCCGAATGTGTTTTCCTTTTATCACTTTCTAGATCATCTGCCATTTGGAAGAAACAGAATTAGGTTCTTTCAGAGGAGCTATAGGAAAATGCCTCCTTAAAGCATTTTTAAAATTAACGACATTGTTTAATAATTTTTATTGCATAGGAAATGAAATATTAATGACGTCTAAGGGCTGTTGGAACTCAATACCACATGGAATTCACTCAAATTACCACAGCCAATCAGATCATTGATATAAGACATAAACTTACAATAAATACCAATACATTTATTCAGGAAAAAAATGTGCTATCACCCCTAGTTTTATTAGAAATAACAAAGGACGTAAATCACAAAGAACACATCTCTAGGTAGGACTAAAGCAGCACTTCTCACTGGCTGTTAAAGAGGCGTTATTTCTCCACTCACTATTCTGTAGTTAACACAGGCCCCAGGGAAGGGAGACGCCCACTGGTGGCCCACGCCTTTGACACAGTGGGTTCCCGAAGGCTGGACCGTGGATCAGGACCAGCCTGATTAAAAAACAAAAAAAAAGGATGCTGGTTCTTGAACGTGAAAAAGAAACCCATGTGTCATAGGCTTCTAATTTCCTGAGCACCTCATATATGCCCAGCGCCGTCTACACACACAGCATGCATGGCTGGACTGACTCTTCTCAACACTGAGCAGTGAGGTTGCCGTAAAAGCAGGACGCAGGTTGCAGTTCAGAGGGCAGACCCAGGAGCCGGTTGCACTGTCTGGTCCTGCCCTAGCTAACCCGGGCAACTTCCTTAACCTCTCTGTGCGTCAGACTTCTCTTCTCTAAAATGCAAGTCACAGCACCCACTCACAGGTTTCCTTAGAGGAGAACATGAATTAGAGTTTGTCACAGCGCTGGAACAGAGCCTGGCAATTAAGGAACAGTATGTTTGTGCCATTACATCAAAAAATAGAGACGTTTTGATTCAACTCATTTTACAGAAGCGGATGCTGAGACTTAAGTTGGGGACTTTTTCTTTGGGGATTACTAACCTTACAAATATTGGTGTATTTGTTACAAATTGCCTTCTAAACAAGACGTAGTATAGTAAGTCTTAACATTATGTAAGTGGACATTATGAGTATCCACATTTGAAATGACTGAAAAAAAAGGGTGTCCTGATGTTATGCTAACAGGCGACTAGGGTTTTAAAAACACGTCCAGGGACAGACAGCATGACACACAGATTCCTGTATTCGAACAACTCCAGGGTGAAGATGATTTGCTGAAAAAATGTGTGGCGTGTGTTACAAGGTTACGGCGGGGACATTGATGATAAAGCCACATGTAAAGAAATGAGAACAAAATGGTTTCCAAAAGGTGAGAGTAGAACATAAACTTTCTAAAGTATTTATGTAATTTTAAAAGCACATAGTAATTAAGGAGATATTATAGACATTTTCACCTATAGCACGAAAGGTTTATATATGCAAATTAGCCAAAAGGCACTCTTAGTT